ATAGTGACTAATTCATCTTTATTTTGTTTTAGATGATAGTTTCAATTTAACACAGTATTTTAAAATATTCTTCAGTATTTTTTACAGTTTTATTGGTAAAATTAATGTTTAGGCTTATGCTAACTGTTTTGACATTGCAATTGTGTTATCATAAAATAAACAAACATCTTTCTCTATTCCAGCACAACATTTAATGCGTTAAAAAACGTTTTCGACCATTTTAAGCGATCTTCCTCAGTTCAAATTCAAACCATATAATAAACAAAGTATTCGAAAAATACAAAAATTCAAAGTGCTTATTCACAAGTTAACGCTAAAGCGCATGCCCGTACTCATAAAATGTATAGATTAAACCAAAATAATTAAAAATAAACCAAAAAAATTATATATCAAGTAATATTATAAACACAATTAATAATGCCGCATATGTGGTTGCAACAGTTAATCTATGTTATTATAAAAGGACTTCCAGGCTGTTGATAAACCTTCAGCATCCCTATGATTGATGCACTGTGCGATCATATGCGCCTTGTGTAATATAAAATAATAATTATAGGTAATATTGACGTGTTTGATACCTTTGGTCATTGATGCTTGTATGTATTTCTAAACAAAGGAATCGTAAATAAACATTAAGAATACATATATTAAGCATTGATTTTCAACATGATTTATAGTGTAATTATATAAAAACATATCCGTTATATACAGTATATATTGTCAATTTTGTGTGAAAACTCAATAACACGAGCAAATTGAAATCTTTTTCATATTTTAATATGGAAAGGATTTCACTATATTTGGCTTTACTCTAAGATGTAATGGTTTATTTTTAAGCTTAGAAATGAACTTTTGACTTTTAAACAAATAACCGAAATTCTCTTAAATGAAGTCATTTCATGTTTTCCTTTGATAGGTTTGTGAACTATCAAATACGATCCGTAACGACTATCTGGAGCAAATCTTGTCAGACTCAAAAATAGATTGAAGGTCAAATTTTAAATTTTACTGCTCAATTTGTTTTCATAAATCAATTAGGAAAAGAGTTTCTTGATACCGTTATATCCTTCAAACAAGAATTCAATTTTTTACAATTAGGCTTATAGCCTACACTAAAAGAATAGAATATTCGACGAACAAATATAAGTATTGCTGATATCTTTATGTTTACGTTATTAATAAATTCAGTAAAGTTTACTTTTAAAAAAAGTTTGTTTTTTCATTATATTAAATAAGTTATGAATAACAGATTTTTGTGTTTAATTTCGTGTTATTTAATTCAATGAATCAACTGTGTTTAATATATTCAGTGGAGTTTTTAAATTTTAACTGGAATATAATTTGATATTAAAAATTTGTTTCTTGCGAATAAATAAGTTTAAAATATATTAATTGGTATAATTCAATTCTAAAGTAAAATTATTATTTAAAAAAAACTACTAATAGAGAGATTCACAGAAAAGATCAAATGGTTCCAAATTTACCATTCTTTTTATATCAATGATTAGAACAATTATAAAATTAAAAAATATTATGTTAATTACTTTGCTTAAATACTCAATATAAATTACAGAAAAAGGCTATTTTTCGTTGTTACGTGCATTTTCGATTTTAGGAACAAAATATCAGTCTGAAAACTTTAATACTTGAAGATGCCAATTTACAGTGACAATAATTTTATCTTCTAAACTGCAAGTGACAATTTTTCCTTTTTATTTGCATTTATAGTAAATATGAAGTCAATTTCCACGTTGCTTCCAGTTTAAATTAGGCAATTCCGTATTCTTTAAATTTCAGATCGAGACACTCAAAATTTGATCTCATTAGAAACTTTAAAGTGGTTTGAATCCAACTTAAAATATATCGAAATGATAAAATTTCGTCTTTAAATATTTGAAATTTAATTAATCTATTCGTGTATAATATAAATNGAGCTAAAATCTAAAGGAACCTGAGGAAGAACCTAGAAGAGGTTCGAAAACGTTTGTTTTTTTGTTTCGTCGATCGTACCACACATTATATTGGTTCAGTGTACGTGTTTGATATATAAGTGTGATGAGTTGTGAGTTTTTTATGTTGTGCTGGAATAGAGAAAGGTGTTTGTTTATTTTATTTAATTAATTCCAGTAAGCATTTATTTGTGTGTTATCATAATTTTCAACTTGCATATTCAAAGAAATGGGATTCTCTATTTTGTTCTGTGTTTTGATAAAACAACATATGCATTAAGAAATCTATCAAAAAACTTATAAAGAATCAAATACAGGTATACCTCGACTTACGTCGTTTCTGATTATACGTCGTTTGTCAAAAAAGTATATGGAAAAATAAAAATCAAGTTTAAGTCATTTTATTTGACTTTACATCTGTTTATTGAAGTCGTAATATCACTAGAAAAGCGTTTAAAGCACATAAAATCATATTAAAATATATACATTTACAAGTATGTACTGTATTTACAGTACATGCATTCGTAAATTTAGATTACTTTTTTCTGTACTATATTAAAAAATAAAATTTACTTGTTTGTAAGCTTAAAATAGATCTTTATTAACTGTATATTATTAAAAATGCATTAATAAATAAATTACAGAACCGGGAATGGTAATTTATGGTTTAGCCTAGTGACAAGTAGATTTGGAGACAAGTAAATTTGACTTACGTCGCTTCTCCTGGAACCAATTACCGACATGAAGCGAGATATACCTGTAGAAATAAAAAAATAAATTTCCTATGATGGATTTTTTTATTGTGATGAAATTATTAGTGAATGTCTTCAATAAACTATTTAGAAAAACTGAAATTGAGACTGTTAGTAATAGAAATGATGGAAAATTTTCAACTAAAAAAGAAAGAAAATTGTTTCTTTACAACAAGTGATGAAGATACAGAATAAAGTTTTATTTTCATTTGTTTTATAATGATTAATAAAGAATGGAGCCTTGTAATTTATTGCTTTATTTCCTGTATAAATATTAGTTTCCATTTATGTGATTTTTGTTATATATAAATTGATCTGCTATGTAAATTGAAGATTAGATGTATATAAAGGTAACAAGTATTCTGGAACACAGGCAGTATGAACCTTAAATATTTGAGTTGTTTTGAATTTTTCAGTTAGATGATTTCCAAATTTAAGTATGTTTTGAAACAAGTTTGGTTTCCATACTGTATATAAGACAAAAAAATAATCATTTTTGCATTAATTTTATAATTTATAATTAAATAAAAGTTTTCTTATAAAATTAAATAACTTTTGAATTAAAGGTCATTTTTCTGATCTATGATTATCAGAATTGGGGTTTCTCATTTCTTGGTCTTTTGCTTGTCCCATGATTCCAGGTTAAAAGTGAACTGTTTCCCGGGACAGAATTAATTATTCTTAAGATATACAAAATATCATGAAATCAAATGATATAATTATTTTTCATTTTTTAAAGTAATTTAATATGCTCTGCAACCTCCAAAATCATGTTACTAATGCTGTTTAAGATATATATTAAAAATTACCTTTGAATTACGCAGAAATTTTCACAAATAGAAAAAATTTATTAACATTTGCTGAAAACTACATACATACATACATACATACATACATACATACATACATACAACAACAAATTGCTTTGAATTGAGTTGAAAATTAAAAAAAAAAAATTAATCTAGATGAAACTTCTAACTTAGAAGGTAATTTTCGTTTTTTAAATAAAACATAATACAAAATATTATTGTAAATTTTTATAATAAGATTTTAAAAAGCAAAGATCGTCAATATTCCGATCAGTCAATCTGATTCTTATTTTAGTAATGAAAAGTCTTGCTACCAAGAATGCCCTTTCCGATTTAATTGATGTTAGTGGAATCGTCTTTAATGCATTTAAGAGAAGACAGGTGTTATATGTTTATTCACCTGTAGCCTGGAAGATTTCTAGTTTGTTTGTGAGATTGTAGTACTTCTTTTGCTCTCTAGTATTCTTGATTTGTCTACCTCGGCTGCTTTAATAGTGGCATCAAGCTTATAGCTCAATAATTCGGCAATTTGTTTGGCTTTAATAATCAGGTTTATGAAGAAAAACTTCATACTTAAAGACTCGTACTCATTTGTATCCTTGCCCAATTTGCACAACCTGGCATTACGCAGTTATCAAAGCTACCGGGCATGGTTAAAAATTAAGACAGTGTAAGCACAATTATTCCGGATATTACAGGTTCTGACAAGTAAAGAATTTTCAGAGTCCTGCCACAAATAAGCTATGTACTGATTATTGACCATTTGTGACATGACATAACGAGGAAAAATTAAAAAAAACTAATAAGTAGGTTTAAAATTAATAAATACAAATGTATTCTGACAGTTTATGTGTGAATTATACTTTCTATTTGCAAAATTTCCTCAACCTTAACACAAAATAAGAAAAAAGTGAATTTTTTAGAAATTTGCGGGATTTCCCGGGTTAAAAAATCAACTGGGACCCCGGGATCTTGTTTGAGAAATCCTAATGAGAATGCATTTATGTTCTTAGAGGTGATATTTGCTTTGAAAATTATTAGGCTGCAATTTTTGAAAATTGTAGACTTATAAATTCTCACTGGCATCTGTCTGTATGTTTCTGTCCTTCCTTAATGTTGAGACTAGTTACATAGATGAAAGTTAAGACTAGATACTGAGAGTTTAGGGGTTAGGAGCACTGATTAACTATATAATGTGACTCCTGTCACGTTATTTCAATTAAAAAATTTTACCCTGAACAGAGTTAGATAAATGACCAGCATGATTCTATTGTTAACAGGAAAAGTATGATGTACAGCAGCAAGACACTACTAAAATTGAAAGCATTGTGACAATGTCACAATAAATAATTACTTATATACAATTTCACCTACCAATCAAAAAATTTGGGCATCACTGGTTTTTATATTTGTTCTAATTTACACCTATATCTGTTGTTTATTCTTTATGGTTCATGAAGTGAATTTAATTTATTCATTTATATTTGTAGGTTACCAAATTAGATCGTGATCCATCATCCGGAACTGCTCTTCAGGAGATCAGTTTTTGGTTAAATTTAGAAAGAGCCCTCTTACGTATTCAAGAAAAGCGAGAGAGCTCAGAAGTAGCCCTTACATTAGATATATTAAAGAAAGGAAAAAGGTTTCATGCAACTGTGAGCTTTGATACTGACACAGGTAAGATATTTACATAGAAAAGACATTTTGTTAAATTTTGTCAATAGTGCATGAATGTATATATTTGCATATATAAATACATGTTAATTGAAAAATAATGCAAATTAAAAATTTTTGTTTTTTCTTTGTGCTTAGGATTGAAACAAGCCTTAGCCACTGTGAATGATTATAATCCATTAATGAAAGATTTTCCTTTGAATGATTTGTTATCAGCCACAGAATTAGATAAAATTAGATCAGCATTGCAAGCGATATTTTCTCATTTAAGAAAAATACGCAGTACAAAATATCCTATCCAGAGAGCCCTTAAGTTAGTTGAAGCAATTTCAAGAGATTTAATGTCACAGTTATTAAAGGTTTTATTTTTGATTTTATTTTTGGGTTTAATGAATTCTATTAGTTCATAATGATTTTATAATTGCATTAGGTTCTTGGCACAAGAAGATTAATGCATATACCATTTGAGGAGTTTGAGAAGGTATGTATGTAGTTAATTTAAAATGTTTATTTTTATCAAAATTAGATATTTTTCATACAGAAATGAAGTGCAAGCTAACCTTTGTAGTTTATTTTTATAATTAAAATTACATATTCTTTCTTTCTATTTAAAAACAAATACAATATTTAAAAATAAATAAATGTATATTTACTATTTATATTTAGTTTAGGAATAATACATAAATTTATCTTTATAATTTATCCTCATTTATGGGATGCAAATGGAACCTGGTTTTAATTTGCCTAAGATTTATTTCTAAGACAAAAACTCAAATAACTTTTCTTGTGAAGTGCAAGCAAAATGGGAAAAAGAATGTGTGTTAACAGATTTTGAAAAAAAGAAAATATCAGCTTTTCGTGGCCAAGGCATGTCATCCAGAGTCACTAAGGGTAAAGTTAGAACTGTATGATTGGGTCAAAAATGTTCCAGCCAAATTTCTGAAGCACAGCTTGAGTGGCTGCAGTGGAGTGTGGTTGTGCATTATCTTCCTCGAATAAAGATTAAACGCCATTTTCTCACACCTGCTTTGTTCATAATGTGATCACCAAAAACACTTTTGTGATTTAAAAAATTCACAAATGAATTTTTATTTGGACTAACTGTATAAGTATCCTCTTTCATTGTCCCTTCAAATAACATCAGGAAATTTTACCTGTGGAGATGACCTTTCTTTAGAGGCTACTATTCCCCACCTCAACAAAACATTAAAAAGTTTCGTCTGGTGGTGGCTTACACATTTTTTAAAAATTAAACATTTAATAAAATATTCATTTGTGAATTTTTTAAAGTTATAACTTTTGTGATTTGTTTATGAATTTTCATAGGACAGACATTTTTCACGCTTAGAAAAGAATAACATTTTGCATTTAGTGGGATTTTTGATTTCTATACACATTTTAACTCTTGACAAAACAGTAACAATAAGCCTGCCATTATTGAAACTCTACACATGCTAAACTAACACATCAGAGAACAAATTGACCTTGAATCAATGGCCATAATTTACCTGTGCAGATTGCTAGGCACAATGTTCTTTATTTTCTGGACATCTCTCGTATATTATTATTTCAAGATCACTACTTTATGCGAGATGAAAAAGGTTTTTATATAGAAAGCAGGAAAGACTTGATTTCATAAGGAAATCAATAGAAAAAATACATGCTAGATTTATTCAAATTTTTAATTTACAAGAATCTGACAAAGTGAAATAATTAAGATTGGACAAAGATATTGAGACTTAAAAATTTTATACGATGTCAGCACATAATTACAGGCAAGTGGCAAATCAAATCGTATGTGTGATCTCGTTCCTTCTTCTCACTGAGAATTCTGTAGGATTGAAGTTTTTTGTATAATTTAACTAATGCAATTTATTGATTTTTTTCTTTATCTATTTCATAATAAAGTGTATTACAAAAACTAGAGGACTGAATAATTCATTTAACAGGTTATGGACCCAGACCACAATCATAGAACTCTGTCAAATTAATACTCTAATAAAGTGAAGATAAGTCTTTTCTAGAATAGTCTTTAAGTCGTAACCCAATAGCTCCAATCAATGTTGAAGATGGCTATGCAATTGTTTCAAACAGAAAAGTTGGATAAAGGCGATTATGATTGCTGGAAAATGCAAATGAAAATGTTTTTAATACAAAATGACCTTTGGAAATATGTTGAAGAACCAAAGGTTGAATCTGATGAAGAATGGAACAAAAAGGACCAAAAGGCTTCGGCAACAATTATTTTCAGCATAAAATCATCAGAAATAATGCATATAAAAAAGATGGAGCACATCAAAGGAAGTGTGGGACAAGCTGAAAGAAATAAATTAGTTGAGAGGAACAATTACAAAAGTAAGTCTTACGAAATAACTACTTCAAATCAAAATGAAGTTTAATCAAAGTATGAAGGAATATTTAGATGTCTTCCTTGGAACACTTGATAAATTGGTAGAAATAGATGCATGTGTTCCCAATGACACTCTTTCCATTCTGATCCTTTTGAAGACTTTTGATGAACATGAGAATTTTAGAGTAGCAATTGAAAACAGAGATTGACTTCCAGAATCCAACACATTAAAAGTGAAACTTCTAGAAGAGATGTGAGAGGGAAGAAGAAAGAAATTAGCAGACAGCCTTTGTGGGATACTCAAATGAAAATAAAGGCAAAGATAAGCTTAACTCTAAGAAAAGGAAGTAATTCTGTTTCAAATGTTATACCTGTGGCAAACAAGGGCACAAATCTTCTGATTATTAGTGGAAGAAAAGGAAAAAACACAATATGTTTTCAAAAGAACCTAACAAAATAGCAACAGTAACTACATTTGATTTTCTGAATCTTTATCTCAAACTCTAAGCAAGAAGGAATTGTGTTTTGATATTGGAGAAACAGCACAGGTGTGGAGATGAGAAGCAATTCATAGAAATAATGCAAATTAATCCTCAAAAGGTGCAACTTGCCAACAATAAAACAACTCTAGCTGCTGGAAGGGGCTCAAATTTGTTGAAAACCTTAATTTGAAACAAGATATGCTACTTTTGGAAAATGTACTATTTGTACCTGACCTTCATGGAAATTTAATTTCAATCAGTAAGTGTACCAGACACCTTATACTATAACAACTTCATTACTATTTGGAGAATTTGTTAAATGACCTAGTTCAACAAAACACAAATGAATTTTTCTGCATAGGGCCTTTAAGCAGTCCAGTGACACCCTCTATATGGGGTGGAGCTCACGAAAGGTCCATGACTTTCACTATTACCAAAGATGTAACAACTGCTATTCGTACGGGCAGCTCCAGTCCCAGTGTACTAATAAAAAAGTATGTCTGGAATGCACGGGCAACCACTCTACGTATGAATACACAGTCGAGATGGAAGACTTCAAGTGCATAAATTGCATTAGGTACAACGCCAGCAGGAAACTTGCCTACATAAACAGATGGAATTCATGTGCCGCAGACACATGCATTCGGGGGGAAAAACAGAGTGCATATAGAGACCGGGGCTAAAGAGAGGGGAAGTGCTCATTATACATGACATGCACTGCCTACATATACATATGTCGATGGACAGAACACACATTTGGGAAAAAACAACAAAAAACAAAAAAAAAAAACAAACATAGCGCACATAGAGACCAGGGCTAAAGAAAAGAGAGAGATTGCAAGTGCAACAACACGCACACTCCAACTGCACTGTTGCATGCGAAACGCGCGTATATATAATAGAGACCTGGGGGCCAAAGAGAGGTGCGAGGTGCGCACTATACGCAAGACACACAAGCGCAAAGAGACCCAGGCTAAAGAAAAGAGAAGCGTCTTGCAAACACTCCAACTGCACTGTTGCAACACACAGCTGAATCGCAAGAAAAAAAAACTATTTGAAACTCACCTTATTCCTTCAAAATCCTATCCCTTCCTTCTTCCGTGCCTTCAGATCGATGATTATCAACAGTATTCTGGGATTAGATGCATAAAACCGTCCAAAAGGCTCCATTTCGAAGCTGCTAGCAAAACACACATACTAGAGTCTTAATAAGCTTAGAAAATACCAAAATTACAGAGATTTTTACACAAGGCATTAAAAGGAATGGGCTTTGTTTTAAGACAACCCACAGAAAGTTTTGCTCTAACTACTGTAGCCCAGAAGACTCACTCAGAAGAAATTAATCCAAAAATGAAAGATATTCAGATAGGCACAACAGGCTTAGACATCTAAACTACAACAATTTGAAAAAATTATAGACAAGAAATGGTATGTGGCTTGCAATTTGATAATTCTTCTGGAGAATCTCAGGCTTGTGAAACATGTATTAGAGGAAAACAGACAAGGTTACCATTTCCAAAAGAATTTTCAAGTTTAAATTTTGTATTACAACTAGTTCTTACAGACATCTGTGGCCCAATGTCTGTTTATAGATGATAAATTCAGAAGAAGAATCTGTTTACATACTGAAGAACAGAAGAGAAGTGTTTGATGCATTTAAAAGATATAATTCAATCTCAAAGTATGAAACTGGACAAAAAGTAAAAATGATTAGAAATGACAATGGTCAAAGAATATCTAAGCAAGGAGTTCATAAAATTTCTTCAAGATGAGGGAATAAAATGTCAGCTCTGTTGAATACTCACCTCAACAAAATTGCATAGTTGAACATGCTAATAGGACATATGTCAAGATGGCGAGGTATGTAAGTTTGCCAACTTTTGGGGGCAATAAGTTAATTGCGCATCAGGAAACCTAGGGGCAAATCATATGTGGCTGGAGGCAGTGGAGACAAAGATGACAAGTGTCTTACACAAAAACCATTCATTTTGTCACAAAATTAACTTACACTAGGAACAAAAACAGACTGCTTTCAAGCCGGCGTTGATTTTGACGATCGTCGTCTTGTGGCAGGTCATCCTTCAGTTGGTGTTGCAGCCCCGGGCAGACATCGATGGTGGGACGATCTTCACAGTTACAAGATCTTAAGTCCAGCGGGGTCGGCTGGGATGTGTCGGCACGTCGGAACAGTTCAGGTTGGGATGCAGCAAAATCTTGGAGAACTGACGCTTGACCTTGAGACTTGGGGGTTTTATAGGATTTTTCCCAGCATCTCATGCTTTTGATTAGTCTCCTTTTTCCTCTCCCTTACCCCAATTGGTCATTCTTTTCAATCTGGGTTGGGAAAGGTCCAAGAGGTGTTGATGGAGCTTTTGAAGTCTGCGCTTGTATTTCTCTCCATTATGGCCCTTTTCTCTGACATTTTTGAACCTAAACAATCTACCAGATGTTCTTGCAGCCATTTACTCATCTGATGGGTTCGGGCTTACACGACTTCACAAATGTCCTTTTGGTCATTAACCCCCTTTTCTCAATTCTTCAGACCCGACACTTGTTCACGAGCATCTTGACAAAGCTCCCTCTCTCTCTCTCAGTGACACTCCCCTCTGCCGTTTATCATCATGTCATGTTTGTTTTACAATAAGTAAG